TTCCTTTCCATGTGTCATTTCTGATGAGTTAGTTATCAGTTTGACCACAATATCCACCAAGTGATAAAGTTGAGTCCAAAAATGACTATTGTTTTTAAACAATTGCCACTCTTCCAAAGAAACAAAGGAGGCGAGTTTACGGTGAGTTCAGATCCTTCATGACAGGCCAGATACAGAGACTTAAAAGCATGAGGTGTCAGCCAAAGGTAACAAGTAGCATTTTCTCCAAACAAACCACAAAAGTTTTGGAGACGTGAATGAAATGAAGGTGCTTAAGATGCTGAACTGCATACACAACCCTACGCTCGGCTGAACTAAACGCAGCATATCAACACACAAGGACATTTTGCTAAATGTCAAGTGCGGACGTGGAGTGTTGACGATTTAGGCCTTGTTCTGGTGCCGCAGGACCTTGACTTTAAATGTGGGGCCATCTGTCAGACAGTTGAAGCTGTACAGAAATTGGCCTGAAGAACAACAGAAATCGTACAACAGCGTGTGTGTGGGGTTGGGCTTAAAGTGTAGCAATTGCTGAGTCCACTGTATAATATTTAAAAGTGGTAAAAATGGCTTTGTTACTGATAAAGTCGCAAAGCACAAAATTAGATATATTAAGTTGTTCAGTTAGCTGGTGAATAAAAGATGTAGCATCATTGTCAATCTGTCCCTGCACTGTGGCTAAGTTAAAAAAAAAAAAGTTATGACAAGTTGTCCTGTGTGATATACTGCGATACATCCATTGCATTTATCTAGTTTTAAGATCTTCTTAAAAATATATATTTTAAGAAAACAATAGCACTACCCCCATTCTCTCGAAAAGTTCTCTTTCGCAGCAGGACTCCCATAAGACTTGATCCTAAAATATACTGTGTGATAAAAAAAAAAAAAAAAGAAAAAGAAAAACTCCAGAGAGCCTTAGGCAAAGAGAGAATGCAGACAATTTGCCTTGCTTAACACATCTGGCTCAATAGAAAGGCGTGTGCCCTTTCAGAAACACGTGGGACAGCTCTCCCTCTCACTGCTGTGCTACTGGGAGAGAACGACCATCAAACTGCATTCCAGTTATTGTTATTCTAATTAGTGTCCAGAAAAAAAAAAAGTGATGTGTGCATGCACACGTACACACTCGCACAGAGCAAAAGCTTATTTTCGGTCGAGCACGAGGCGAAGTGGGGGTAGAGAGTCAGAGCAGCCAAGTGTGAGATGGAAGCCCTGATGTCTCCCAAGGATTCAGCCAAGACACGGGGTGAAACGGCACAATAATCAACAGGACCTGCGGAAAGGAGCCCAGGGGAAGGCTCTGCCTTCACACACAGTCGTCATGAGAATATCTTTTAAGAGGACCTCCACATTCCCCTCATCCTCACACAGGCTGCCTTTATGTGACAGCTGTGCACATAAAAAGAGACAGGGCTATAAACCAAAACAACTACCCTGGCTATTGTGGTTCAGCATTTATCAGGCGAGAGTGGGATTAAACTGTCGTAACACCTGACAGAGCAAAACATACATATCTCTACTTTAATGTCCATGTTTACAAGCAACAAAATAAACAGTTTTCTTGATGCTACAGTATAAAATCTCAAATTGCTGTCTAGTGCACAGTGTTAACTAAGTTAAACGGAACAGAATGAGTCAATCAATCAAAAATAAAAAAAGAAGACTGATTGAAAATAATGTTCACTTGTATGACAAAGTATTTGGGTCCTTAAAAAAAAAAAAATATATATATATATATATATATATATATATATATATATATATATATATATATATATATATATATATATATATATATATATATATATAAAAATATATATATTTTATTGCTTTTGCTTGTTTGCCAGATTTACACGGTTTAGATAATCAAACTGACCGGCAAAGATGACCTAAGTAGATACAAATCACGACTGTATAGTGATGATTTGACTTATTAAGAGGGGAGAGGGGGGGGGAAAGCTATCCCAACCAAACTTAATTCATCGAGCATAAACAGTGAACAGTGTGAATAAGATGCTGTCATGGCCCTCGTCGTATTTAAGTCTGGACTTTGCCTCAGCCAATCCAAAACATGAATGTTTTTCTTTTGAGCCAGTTTGTACTTTAATTTATTGTCCTGGATGTTAGCTGAGGGCCAGATGTTTTCCATCAAGATTTTATAAAGAGCAGAATTTGTGGTTTCATTAATTAAACATCTTTCAAGTCCTGACACAGCAAAGCAACCCAAGACCATTACATCACTATTCTATGCTTGACTTTTTTCAAGAGTTGGCTTTCATTGGGTGTTGCTTGTGAAACTGGATTAAGGTTTATAAAACATGTGTTTAATCACAGTTAATTCAGGACTTTACATGGAGGAATTTTTTTTTTTTTTTTTTAACTTAGGGTTTTGTTTGTGTAATTTTATGAATAAAATAAGTATTTGAAAACTGATCTAACTATATTTGTATAACATTAAAATATGCTCAATTTAAAACATTTATGCAAAAAAAATACTTTTCCATTAACAGGGATTTAACTGTATTGTTTTATATATTTTCTATCTTTTTGCAACAAAATGAAAATCTATAACCACAGAGTCAGTTCTCCCAAAGCCCTGAAAGGAAAATAAGCACAAAGATGTGAAATTCCAGGCCATGAGAACTCAAACCAGTTCTCAATGCATTTCATAATCCCTCTGTGAATTCAAAGCAGATTTTGCTGTGCATCTCTGTCCCATATGCCGTTTATTAATCAGTATATGGGCTTACGGTTTGTATCATTTTTGAAGTCATGTCATTTTCCTTCTATGATGTATGTGTCATTATAAAAAGTGGTATTCTGCTGTCATTTCAAAGTTGCAAATTCAGCTTGAATGTCAAATTCAACGGTCTCATACACTATGCCTTGCGTTGCATGATTACAAGCCTGGCAGGACTATTTCCAGTAGTAGGGCTAAATGCCGCAGAGACAGAGAGAAGCTGCCGAAAACCTCAGCTTGCTATTTCTTGATAGGCGCCCTGGCCCCCGGCACCGCTAAACCCTGGAGTGACGCCAGGACTGTGATTTGAGGAATTCTTATGGTTTCTGTGGCCACACAAGTGCCCCCTTTACAGGAAATTTAACATAAGCCAGTGAGGGCAAGGATCAAAAAGTAGCAATTGTGGTTTTTACGATAAAGCTCAACAGTTGGCGGTTGTCAGTGGACAAATGACCTATTGAACCTTATGCGAGTTCTGGGGGAAGGGGCGAGCTGTTGTAAAAGAGTCAGCCAACAAACACACACCACAGGAAGTATTACATCTTTAATCCTGTAACCTTCCGATATAGACAGACATACTGGACATTATCTTGGTGTGTCTCATGCCAGACTGCCAAATTCACAAGCGTCCTCCCCCCAGTAACAGCTTAATCTGGGCTCCCCCCCACGCGAGCAATGGCTGCATCTCATTCATTAGTGGCCAATCGTCCGACCCTGGGAATATTGTCGGAGGGGGAGGGAGCCCATGCTTGAATTCTGCAAAGCAATTTGAATATGTAATGTGCCAGCCAAGATATAATCACCAATTCTTTTTCAGTGATTAAAGGGAACTTCAGTTGCAGTCACTTGACACTGCTTCACACTCTCACAAGCAGGTTAATCAGCAGGTGTTTTCACAGATATGTCACAGCACTTCAACATGCATGGTGTTTTTTTTTTTTTTTTTTTTTTTATTAATTAAAAAAAAAGCCCACTGCTTGCGTGCCATTAGAGTTGTTCAGGTCTTTCATGTCTTCATGCCAACAACAAGCATGGAGACTTGGGGACTCCCTAAGGTTTGCCAAATCCCCTAACCCCATGCCCCTCCCTAGAACAAAGCCTCCCCAGTTGCGCGCCTGACCCAGTAACCTGGCAGGCAGGGAGTGATAGCACACCCTGTCTTTGGACTTTTAGGGCCCCGTGTGAGAGCACAGGGCCAGTATTTGTGTACAGAGCAAAGTCACTTTCGTCAGTGGAATCAGCTCTTGTAGTGATTAGAAAGGCCCCTGACAGACAGAGCCGATTGTGCTGTTAAAATGTACTTGCCTAACGAGCAGAGGTGAGGAGAGTCTAGTACTGACCCTGCTAATCTGGCTGGACGTAGGCAACTTTCGGTAACACTTTATTTGAAGGGGGTTGACTAAGACTGTCATGACACATGTCATAAACATGACATAACACCTGTCATGAACATCAATAAGTCTTCATGAATATTTATGACTGTTGTCATAAAGCGTCATTCGGTAAATTATGACACTTTTAATACAAAGTTGACATTATTCAAAATGCCTTTGTTATGACAACTTGACATTAACCAATAAATCATTACTGATGTAATTACTGATTTCACTTTAAAAATTAGGTAACTTTATGTTATTAAAGGTAAAGTTTGAACAGTTAATGTCAAGTTGTCATAAAGACATTTTGAATAATGTCAACTTTGTATTAAAAGTGTCATAATTTACCGAATGACGCTTTATGACAACAGTCAAAAATATTCATGAAGGCTTATTTATGTTCATGACAGGTGTTATGTCATGTTTATGAAAGTGTCTTGACAGTCTTATTCACCCCCCTTCAAGTAAAGTGTTGCCCAACTTTCTTTTCAGGCTCTTCAAAGAAAGGCCCTCCTGCTTTCTGTACCAAATGATTTTTTTTTTCTCTCTCAAAGACTATCCACCTGGTGTCTGTTTAGACATGTCTAATAAAGGATTCTTGACACAACAAAGTACTATTGTGGAAGTGAATCACACCTTTCACCCTAGGCTGTGAGGTGAACTGGATTAACAGCGACCACAATATAATTCTGGCACAACAATAATGGCACCCCCATCATTCACCAACTTTTGGGGAAAAACAGACATGCACCTATGGTAAGTGATAATTCAATATGAAATAATCTAACAAGATGGCAAAGAGAAATCTTCAGGAATGTGCTCAACAGGAAAAAAAAATATTCTCAGTTTCTGAAACATTACAGAAAATATGGAAAACATCTTACCCCCTGGCTTCCCTTGAAGCAAATTACTGGCTGGTTTGATAGTGAAGCCTGTGAAGAAGGGAAGAAAATGTCCAATTTAAATTGCAAATCATGTTCATCTCAAATCTACGAAGCAGTTCAAATATCATAGGTAAAAATATGTAGCCATTCTGCATGCCTCGGTGTTTGTTGCTATAATCACCGTTCCACAGTAAGTATAAAGGTTAAGAGTTTCTGGCTCTAACCTGAAGAGAAGTGGAAGTAATTAATTATTCTACTGCCACCAGAAGATTTTCTTCATGTCACATTTGTGATTTCTGTGAATATTTTTTTTTCTTTTTTTTTCTTTTAAACACGCAATTCCAGTGGTAATTAGGTGTAAAATAAAAATGTGGTTAAATATACTTTTAAAACCAAAGGACAAAGCACGAACCCTAGGTAAATATAACAACTCATGTGTGATCTGTTCTGACAAATTTCCACTCAGACTTGTCTGGGCCACACCATCTCCTCTTTTATTTTATGGTTTTAATAAGATTATAGTTAAGAACGGTGAAATGAATGCACTTTTGTACCCTTGAAAACTGAATCTGAACTAGAGATGGACAGCGATCATATTATTTGTTGTAACAGTGTCTGCAAACCACTAAAATTGACAATATGGATCAGATAAATATGCTCACTGTTTGAACATTTTTTTTTTTGCTTTTCTTTGTATTTTTTATTTTATTCTGTTCTTATTTGAGTCCTGCTTTTAACAATGAAAGTCATTTTTTTTAAATCCTGTTTCCAGTAGATTTTTTTTTTGTCCATGCTGCCCATCCCTAATCTGAACAAAAAAAAAATCTTCAGAGTGAAGATTACATTACAAATATTAGATCACCATAATATTTGATACTGACTTGATTCCACAGGCATTTCTATATTTATCACAGTGCATTGTATTGGATGTATAGTAGCTATCAACCAGTAACAACATTATTAAATTATCAACACCACAGCTCCATTATTCTTATATGCGATTGATATGTGTTAGTTCTTGTTTGTCAAACTTTGCAAAAACTTGTGAAGTTTGTTGTAGTCTTACTTCAACAGACATTCAGCTTCCATTTACTTTATAAAACAGGCCTCGTTGGCAGCAAACTGCTGTAATGTAAATAAAAAAATCATTTACAAACAAAAAACTAATGTGAAACAATTTTATGTGACTAAATATATCAGCAAATATGCAGGCGATAATAAAAAGTTCAGTGTCAATAAAATTATTTAAACAAAACCCCCCAAAAAACAAGTGGTTTCATTAGTATAAAAATATATGAAGATGGCAGCCTTGGCTTTGAAAGGGTGCTGGTCGTTTCACCTCTTTATGGTTTTCTTCCTGTGGCTATTCTCAACTTGGGTAACAGAAGAGAGTCATCCTTCACAGGACTGATTATACTGACCCTGTGCCAAATTGAACTGGCCAGGGAGAGTTTACAGCAGCTTAGATAAATGAGGATTTAAAGTCTATCGATAATATTCTTTTAATATTATCTGGAGTCACTGTTACATGACTCAAGTAAATAAAACCGGAGATTGCTCAATTATTTTGGTGTTATTGAATCGTTTTTCATAAGAGCCATCCACATAGGAATCAAAAGAGGTGTAAAATAAAGTCTTCAGAAAATAATATAGTTACATTTATAATGCATTAATTAATGCATGGGTACAAATGTAAAGATTCAAAGCAGCCCAAACCCACTTTAGGAATAATAAAACTATCTTCTTATGGCCTAATAGATTGATCAACATTCGAATCAACTATACTATACTTATAAATGGCACTGATTTTATTTTTTCATTGCAATGCCTTTTTTTTCTTAAAGGCTATCTCCATTTTAACTTTTAAAATGCTGCATTTTAGTGTTTTATTTACATTTTTTTATTAGACCTGTTTTCAGTAATGGTGACTTTCAATGCGGAAAAAAACAAAACAAAACAAAAACAAAACATTTCTTTGAGGTCTCATTCCCCTGTTTCTTTTCACCCTTGATTGTAAGCAAGTAGCAGCAGCTGTCAGGTTCGGGTTTCTGCAGGACATAAACCTTCTACCCTCACAGGGGGTGTCCTCAACCGGTCTTTTCTGGGGTGGTCTACGGCTTGGAAAACTTGCTGTCTCCTCCCCTCTCTGTTTGCCTGCTGTGGTCTGGAGGAAGCCGTCAGGCTGTGGGAGAGCTCCGGAGTTTCCTCCGCTTCACGGACCAATGAGCTCCGGGGATGGGCGGGCATCAACAATACACAACAACTTTCAGAGCCAGTGCCACCGAACCCAGCTGTTTACTATCCAGCTCAACCACCAAGGTCGGGGTCCAGGTTTAGAAGCTGTATGCGACTCGGGAATGTGGCGCACACAAAAACAGACTCATTTGTTTTGACAGCGGAAAAAAAAAAAAAAAATCCCTCAACTAAATGAGCCTCCTCCTGCAGTCACAACTGTAGCTCTGTCTTATCAAACACTGCTGCGGAGAGAGAGCATTTTGGATAGACTAAATGATCTCTGACTAATCTAATGGGCCATAAAGGCAATAAAACAGCGTTCCGAATCTGAAAAGGCAAGTCATTTTCTCGATCGAATATCCAATGTATTGCAACGAGCGAAGCCAAGCAGTTTGCCTTAAAAAATAAACAAATGGAAACATATGCGTTCATCCTTCTACCAAAATACATTTTAAGATTGTGTAAAATTAATACATTCTTTGTCAAGTGTTTTAAGTGGTCGTCATCGATTTTCCAATTTGTTACAACATTGGATTAATATTCCTAGGAATGGAAGACAACTTTTCCACATTAAAACAGTGAGTGTGGGCTTTTCTTCTACAATTTGTTACACCATTGGATTAATTTCCCTAGGAAATGGAAGACAACTGTTCCACATGAAAACCTTGCATTCCAAATATATTGCTGCCATATTAGCATTTCAACCGACCTAGTAGAACCATATATAGCATTTTATTTTCACCTACTGCGAATGTCCTCTGAAAGTTGTCAGCGAACTTCCGGCGGACATTCAGCTGAAAGTTTAATGGTTTAATGGTGTTTCATTTTGACGTCCGGAAAACGTCGGCGGCGTTCAGCGAACGTTCAAGACAACGTTCAGCGGACGTCGTCTGAACATTCAACACTAGGTGGGATGTAGCCTACATAAACCGAGAGAAAATATCTGCTTGTAATAGTCAGATGAAAAATGAGAAGTTTGTTTTTAGGGAGACTCGGTTAAAAAAGAAAAAAAAAGAGAGAAAAGAACACCGCATAGAAATCTAGCCCAATTTATATTATGTTTGCTTAAGTCAGTTCGAATTATGGAATATGGGGGAGTAAATTAAAAATATTAAGAATTGCATGTTTAGATCCTAATAAATTCAGCTCTGCCTTTTCTCTGAGTGGGCGAGAATACGTTTAAATCAGCCTGCTTTTATCAGCCACCAGCGCCTTTTGGTCTGAAATTTAGACAGTCCATACTCAAAACAAAGAGCTATTTGAACTTTTGTGGGTTTTTCAAAAAATATATTATTTGTGCGCCGTGCGAAACATAAACCAAGCGATGTTTTCCAAAGCAATTCCCGGAGTTGGGAGAGAGACGATAAAGAAAACAGAAAATGTTCCTACAGGAATAATAAAAGCCACAGTGGATTTAAAGTTAAAGCGGGTGATGTTGCTTACCTTCAGGTTCTGGAAGGCTTCCAGGGTCCGGATGGCCGTGTCAGTGAGTTTGACGTGGTAAAGACTTTGACTCGGGTTGTTTTTGTTAATTTTTCCACAGGAGAGCCCATACCGATGCTCCTGTCTCAGCGCTGCCATTTCTACAACTGAAGCCGATTGGCGACATTCTGCCCGGAACGTCACGGAGAAGAAGGCGTGGGGGCGGAGCTAACACACGTACACTCACACCCCCAAGTACCAGCGCACACGCATTCTTGAAATATTGAATATGTGTGCAAAGCTTTTTCCTTCTTTCGTTTTTTTTTTTTTTTTTTTTTTTTACTTTCGGTTCTCTGGTCAGTATTCTTGGCCATCAATGCCACTCCGGTTGCTTGAAGTCTGTTTTTTTCTTTGATGTATTTGGCCAATGGGTCAGATCCAAGTCTCGCTTCTTTGGATTTAGGTAAATACACTTTGAATTTTCTTACTACTTAAACAGACACACACACACACACACACACACACACGCACACACACACACACACGCATACAAACATTTATTCAAGGAAGTAAATGTCATTTTACTCAGGATGTTGCTGTTTATATGCTGTTTATTCATTTTTATTTATAACTTTTCTATTATTGTAAAAGGTTTATTATATCGACATCATGCCATTAGTTCTAGCTATGTAACATGTTGTCTTACTGCATCTATCAACAATGCTGCTTAGTATGTTGCAAATACAACATGTAGGCTCACATAAAATATTTAAGAAAGACTGTAAAAGTCCACCTAGCTCAACAGACAAAACAATACATGTTGGGATCAAGTGGAAGTGAGGAAATAATTGACATACAATTTTCTTTGAAAAACTAAAAGTCTTTTTTAACAAACTGATATAGATCACAAACTTTTTTTTTTCAAGGATCTAATCAGTGAAAAATATTGAAACCCTGTTTGTCTTCTTTATGGGCTTGGGAAAGCTTTATGGTCCTAATTCAAAAGTCTTCTGTTTTGTGGTTTTACCACTAGAGCAAAGGTTTAATATATCTCTTAGTGTTTTTTTTTTAAAGAAGCTGGTTTTAGTTATTATTATTTATTATTATTATTTATTATCCTGTTCACTTTAAGTACTTTAAAGTTTGAACTGGAGACCATGATTTTCAATCCCGACACATTAAAAACTAAAATATCCGTTTTGTGTAAATGGAAAGCTACAAAGTTAAATCTTACTTTAACTGTTAGTTGCTAAGTGGCTAAAATATTACTAGACATATGGTTAAAGTGGTAAAGGTTTCTTCAATTCTTATGTAAGCTTATTTTTACTCAACAACTACTCCCTTATATAGTTCAAAATAAGAGCCTGAAATGCAGAGTTAAGCTTAAAACACTAATCTTACCTCTGAGATTCCTAAATAATGTCTGAATGTTATTTTACCAGGCAATCTCATATACTGACAGTAACTATATAAGAGACAATACATGCCCAGACATCACATTAAAATTTCACCTTTATTGTAGTGTGACGCAATCTTTAAAAATTTTATATCAGACGAGATAGCTATTGCAACCAGAAATATTAATAGAGGATACTGAAAAATATAAATACTGATCAGACTCATTCAATACTTCTGTGTGGACACATAAAAAACAAGAATAAACAACATAAGTGTAGGAATACAAACTTAAAAAAAAAAAAAAACTCCTTTAAGGTTTTGAATACAAAACCTTCAAAAACAACAACAACAACAAAACAATATTGACACATGCAAAACATCTGCCTGTCAGAGAAATGAAATGCCAGAAATGGAATTTGGATTAATTTAATCCTGATGGATAACATCCTTTGATGTGGATTAAAGAATGAGTCAGAGAGGCAGTGTTTATTTATGAAATGTAGAAATGTAGAGTGATATTGGTGTTACAGTGATCAACAAATATGTGTTTGAAAGCAATGTCAAAAACATTTCATTCACCATTGTTGCCACATTTGTTTTATTAAACATTACAGTGTTTGTCAAATAGAAATAGAAATCCATCTGATGTCTCGGAATGGGGGAATTCTAATTCAGTAATGCGTTGGTAATGATTACCAACTGTTTTTCTTATTACTCTTTATTCTTTCACACCATCCTCTGCTCCCTCTTTTAGGCTTCTGATTTTAGGTGCTAATATCTGGATCAGTTAATGGCATTACAGACGTCCAAGTGGCTAAATTATGTATTGGCAGGTAGAATTTCAATGCACTGCTCCTGAAATGCTGTAGCCTGCCAAGTGTTACACCCTAATAGTGCTTTAAGATTGTAATATTCCATACTGACAGTGTGCTGATGATTTACCTTTGATATAGGGAAGTAACCATTTTTTTACCCATTAGAAAAACAAACCACACAAAAATAAATACTTTGATGTTACTTTAATGTGATAGACTTCTATATATAACTGCACTATGCTGCCATGAAAAATAATATATAATTTTCATTGCATGTAAACTTGAGTTTTCAGCTCTAATGGGTTTTGAAAGATGTCACTGTTTAAAAAGCTAAACCCCAAAACATCTTAAAAGGTTTGGCTTTGTTAAATATTTGCTCACAGCTTTGATAAGCATTGTATTACTTAGAAGAAGAAGAAAACAGAACTTTTCTCTCTGTGAGACCATGTTTTTATGTTAGGCAAAAAATACATTGATTCTTAAAAGTTTGAACATGGCACTTTTTACATAATCAATAATCTGGTGTACCCCTTACTTTCTGCTGGCTGTTGGTTGTCTTAATTTGAATTTTGATAATAAATACTTTCTAATACAACTCAATGTAACCAAATTGGGTGCTTGTTTTTTAAAAAAATATTGGTAAACATCACTAAATTGTCACAATATTACACATGTGTTGAGCAGAACGACAGTGAAGTCATTAAGAAGCTTACAGGCGTTCTGTCAGATTAGGTTTTTTCTCCTTCTAATCCTGTAGATTACCACTGCACAGTCTGCTGGCTGTGAGTTCTTCGTTGCGCTGTGCAGGTTCTTTACATTGATTTTTTTCTTTTTTTTTTGTAGCCACCACATCGATGAATTAAGTTGACTAAGATGGATGCAAGCTGTTGAGGAGAGGTCAAAGGGAGGCGGAATTGCAGATTTTGCAGGTGGGACAAAACTTTAAAAGCATCATATGTGACTGGGTAAAGCAGGAATGCATTCTGAGGTGGATTATCCAAAACACAACATGGATTCCTAAATGTTTTTATGGCGATATAGGAGATATATATATTTTTTGTCTAAACAAAGAATAGGTGAGAGCAACAACCCTACACCTCAGTAGGTCATCGGCTGAGCAAATAGGATCATCTCTTGGGACTAATGCAGACGGTCTCCATCGCTCAGTGAAATGGAGACAGAGCCGTGTTGTGAGGAGCAGAGGGATGGTGTTTTGGATCCCACAGAGCCTGAGGTGGCAGAACCCATTTCTGAACCCGCAGACTGCGATCCTCTGAACAAACTGCCTTGTGGGCCTCCAGAACAAGGTGAAGAGCTCTGTGGGAAAGACCCATCTGAACTCGAGAACCATGCAGTCGAGAGTAAAGACAAGGAGATGAAAAGCTTATCCAACTGCGAGCAAGAGAGACGACAAGCAGAATGCAAGGTAGAGAAAAAACTGAAGAAAACAAACAGCTGGAAGATGGTCCGGTTTCAAGACCCCTCGACAGAAGAGGATGTTGTGGAGAGGGACAGCTCAGCAGAGATTCTCTTTCCAGAATACGCTGTGGAAGAATGGACATGTGCTCAGTTTGAGGAGCTCTTCGCGGCAGAGGACTGGGAGAACATCACAGGTAAGAACACATGAAATAAGTCATCTGAACTCCTGATATTGGAAAGTAGAGTAACTTTTAAATGTCAAACTGTTAAACCAACTGCAATAACTGGAAGTCCTTGTGGATAGTTTCCTATAAATCCAGAGTCTTAGATTTGTACTTTACTTTGCTGTTATGCAGAGGACCAGCTGTTGAGGAAGAAAATTCTGGAATCAGGAGACGAACAGGTCCCACGCTCCACCTGGGGTCAAGAGGTCACTGTGAAGATGCAGGGCGTTCTTGAGGACCGGACTGTGGTGGAGAAGGACTGCAAACTTGTCTTTGTTATCGGAGAGGGAGATGTAATACAGGTGATACTCCTGTGCTTTTCCTGAAGGATCCTATTGTGTGTGTGTGTGTGTGTGTGTGTGTGTGGGTGTGTGTTGCCTCAAAAAAGTCAACAAATCTGTATTGTTATGGGCTCACAACACAGGCTTAACAATGTAGGATAAGGGATGTTTGCCTTTGTAATTCTTTAAATCTGAAAATAACAAAAATGTTATTCAGACTGACAGGTAATTAAAATGTGAGCTGCTTTCTAAACACGGTTCCAATATGTTGCTGTTGGGCACGAATCCTCATGACAATTTTTTTTTTTTTTTTGTCAAAATCAAATCTATTAGTCAACCTTAACATCTATTCATGTTTCAGTTAATAAAATGCAGTGAAAAGAATCAAAAGGGTGGTGTGACTTTAAGGAAACATTGTGAATGTTTTAGAAAGATGAGTTTTTTTTTTTTTTTTTTAAATCTCCTGAAACTTTTGGGTCAGATGTTGAGGATTTCAAAATTCCACAATATGAAGATGTCAAATTTTCTGATATATTTTCCTATTTTTAATAAATTCACTTAAAAGGTTCAAGTCAAATTTTCAAACATTTTAGAAGGGAATAGAAATAGAAATATCATTGTATACTTATGTAGACCTTGAAAATAGGTCTTTGTGACTTTTTGAGATGGCGTACAAACCCCCCACTAAAGCTTTTACAAAAATATTCAGAACTAGAAGTGATTTTCTCACCAAAGTTTTAGGGCAATTACTTGCTCATAATGGTACATTGTCTTCTTGCCAAATAAAAGATAGTCTGGACCAGAGCTTCACAATCTTTGCAGATTCTGACCCACAGAATATCAATTTGAAGATTCTCATCCCACAAAGTCAATGAAAAAGAGGGACAATGATGCCATAAACAGTTTCCACAGCTACTGCATTGCTTCTATTTAGATGTACCAACTGTTTTCATCTCCTCTAAAATTTATAGCAACTCAAGTCCTCCCACTTATTCATCTGTGACAGCAGGTCTAATTGTCTGGATCACGAAAAGTCGGGGTCAAAACCTTCTAAACTAAGACGAGGACGCTGGTCCCTTCATGGTTCCATCGGATTACATGTAGGCATTTTCCAGGTGACAGTTGAGGAGTTGCACTTCTACAAGCTCACTCATTTAGCTTTGAAATCTGAAAAAGAAAAGATAACATATTTAAAAGTTGTTAGTTAATTGAAATACGCGACAAATCCACGCACATGTGTTTTTGTTTAACCATGCAATTAGCTGGATGTGAATAGTGTTCTGAGTGATGTGTTTCTTGACACCTGTAGGCTCTAGAGGAGTGTGTCATGTCCATGCAAAAGGGGGAGATCACATTACTGCTGGCAGATTCCCAGTATGCCTATGGACTTCTGGGAAGGTAAGGATTTTCCAGTTGCTTTTGTTTATTGTCATCTTGGAAATGAGAAAACATACTCAGAACAGGCTCAACAGGATTCAGGCACTTATCTTTACTTTGACAATAATGACATCAAAATGTCATCTTTAGCCTCTTGAACCTGTTGCTGTGGGGGCAGACTGTGCATCTTGGGTTAGCGGGGTTAATGGACCATAAACAGGAGCAGATGGCTTTGTCTGAACACCATTCAGGAGGAACCTATCCGTGGTGTGTCTGTAACCTCCTAACCTATGGGGTAACCCTACTCATATTACAGCCAATAGCTTGGGTTTGTAACCTTTGCACCAGTGAAGAGCCAGTATAAACGGAAAAATCACTTAGTAACTGCTGCTTAAAACCTGTCCTTTACAGTTCAATTGTTTGCTCAAGATAAACTGAACAGGCAAAAGCGAGTAATGCTGTTCAAATCTAACAACGTGCAAATAAGTAATTGTATCATATTGCGTGTCACACCGCATAAACACTTCATAAAACCGTCTAACGATCAAATCTGCTGATTTATTTAGTTGTCGGTGCTTACACAGGGATAATTGACCGTAATATGTAGTCAGGCTGTGATGCAATTTTATTAAAAAGGCAATATCATCAACTGTCATTAGAGCCAATTATGAATTAATAGATTAAAGCACACAGTGGTGATCCAAATATGCTTTTGAGGGAGGCAAACTGTGATCATTATAGCTTAAGAAACCCATAACATAAAATATTTTCCAGCATTTTTCTACAGACAGAACACTCATCGGCAGAAAAGCTGCATTAGCTCCCATTTGTTTGCTGAATATTATCATGTGGCAGTAAAAGCGAGAAAAGGGGCAGAATTCATTGCTAGATTTATGGCCCACATCTAGTTTTATAGCTAAGGAGAAAATATAGACCATTGTCATCAATAAATAAATAAATCTAACATTCAAACATTTTGTAGTGAGAGCTTGTTTTTTTCTCTTGTATAAAACAGTTTTTTTTTCTACCTGTTCTAAGTGCTGCACATTAGCCAGTGTTTGTATTGCGAGCACTCTGCGAAGAACACAGCCTGTGAGAAGTCGGGAATCTCTTTCCATGTCGTGTGTGGAGCAGGAGGCAGCAGGAGGCTGGTTAATGATTGTTTTGATGCCACTGATTAGGGTTGTGTGCTGTGCAGTCAAACCTTATTTGAACCACAAGGTACAAAATCAGAGCTTCGTGTCTGCTTTTCCAATATGATTCATTTAACTGATGTGCGTTACCTTAAACTGTTTTTTTCTCGGGTCACGGAATATGAAGTGTTTCAGTTAGAAATATTGTCAGTTTCTCTGATGTGAGTTGAGCCAGATCTCTTTTAGTCTTTGTTGTTCTGAGTTCTTGTTGAGAAGTTAAACAGTTCATTAAATATTTGATTATAAGAGATACAAAAATAAAATAAAATATAAGCAGCAACAGATGTCATGTTTGAGTGCGGATTGAGTGACCTCAGCATGCCTGTACTATAATGTGACAGACAGGAAGACAATGGGGGAAATCTCATTAGCCTCTTTCTGTTCTCTGGCATATGCACTGATTGAACTCTGTCAATCCTCTGCTGCAAACAGAGCTGTTAAGAGCACATCAGGGAGTGCAAAGCTGGTCAGACAGTATGATTCATCACTGCAGTCTGCAGGATCTGTAGCTCACGTAGTCTGTGTTCTGCTGGCAGCACTGTCGAGGACACACACACACCCCTAGAGATGGTGGGAGCATTAACTTGATTGCTACAACAAAGAGGGTCATCAGAATGAATTGTAGGAGGCACCAATATTTATCTGGATAAAATAGTTGAACATTCAGTGAGTTCACCATGTTGCCCCCATTTAAGAAGCTTAGGGGAATCTCCAAACATATTTATATCACTTGAACATTTTTACATTTGCAATCACAACAATCCACGTATTTTACCAATATTTTTTGCAACAGAGTGAGGCAACTTAGTGCAAGTTTATGAAGCAGAATAAAAGTTTGTTTGTATGGAACAGGGATCTGATCAGTGTGACATACAGTTGTATTGAACCCTCAGTTGTGCCTTTGTAGATGCAGGTCCTCTCATTGATCTTTTGGAAGTATGTCTCAAATAGCATTGGAGATCTAGAAAGAATATCTCTGCTCTGTTGCTGGTTCTGCTCTGTAAAACAGCTCAACAAGACTCTTAGAGGGCATATATGAATGCCTCCTCAGACCAAAGCCCCTCGTTCCACATTTTGGTTTTGTCCCACATGGGATGTGGTAAACTTTCATCTCTTTTGTTCAACAATGGCTTTCTTATTGCCACTTTAAAGCCTCTACCAGGTTTTCGTCACAGATTTCCTTGCATTTGGCTTTAAAATTACATTTTGGTGATAACTGAACAGAACATTTTCTACATGTTTGCATATCGCAATGTGAAAACCATTGCCATAGGCTCTATTTTTTCCACACTAAGCTGATTAATTAATTACTTAATAAAGTTCTCAGTTTTGAAACACAAAATGCCCAACTCCCAAGAGCACAATTTCTTAAAACCTTGCATGTTCTGCATTCAAATACTGTCTGTTGTTCTGCTTCTTCCAAAGCAGTGTAGACTACTGTGCAGCTTGGGTAAATTATGCCCAGCAGCAGTGAGGGCCAATACTCAATCAATATATATTATACGGTGCACTATACAGTGTGAAACACAACTTTAAGGCTTTGTTGGCTTAGATCACTTCTCCCTGCAGCATGAGGGCGAGCCACTTACCTTCATAAAGCTCTTCCTTAAGCTGCAGCTCCACCAAATTAGTAATCTCAGGGCTTCAGCGTTTTTATCAAAATTCAGGCGTGACAGGAAGTTATTTTCAGACTAAAAGAGATGTGTGCAGGTTCCTAAGAGGTTGAATCAGATGTAGGATTCTCAGGAAAGAGGCATATTGAAATCAAGGAAGAGTTAAGCAACTTTAGTTGACATAGAAGATGTCAGTGACTCATGACATTTTTGGTTTGTGTGTGTTTCTTCAGCTGTTCTTTAAAGCACAAAAAATTACTGCTTTGACAAAACATGTTTACAGAGAAAGTTTATTTTTTTTTTCCTGAGCAGTTCCTCTGTGTCTAAGGTAGAGAAACACAAATGAGATAATGTGTGATTTTCAGCCTAGAGTGGAGAAAGGCATAGAACTAAAATGGAGTAGATTCCAACCAATAATCCAGACCCTTACAAAGTCTACAGTCAAGATCACTATTGAAAATGACAGAAGCCACCTCACCTTGCACAAAAGGTCCTGTGTTACTTTGCATGACTCTGAATTCAAAATTCACACCTGTTTGGTTGACTTTAACTTGAATAAGTTAACCTAATCTTTTGGTTTAGGTATCACATTTGTTTTTATTAGCAGTGCCACAATTTGAGGCTGTTTTCAAATCTTCTGATTTTGTAAAGCTTTGTCCTGCCTGTAACTATTCCAGCTTTCTGCCTAAACAATCACAGATACATTATAAATCTAGCATAACCTTCATGACAGACTGAAGTTAAAAGCTCAAAAGGGTTAAATAGAGCAAGTTTCTCTTACTCTAGTCACCCTCCCTACTTCCTAGTTTTTTAAAAGTTAAATGTTCTACATTTGACTACCAAATGACGTACACTTAGCCAGTTATAATGAGACACATTTGCAGAAACGTACAACATTGTGAAATCAGAACTAGCGATGCATTGAGGAAGCCTCTAGAGATTGGAATCTGATGATTTTAGCTCGATTTGCCCTTAACATTGACAAACCAGTCAGAAACCAAACACCTAATCTAGTTTCTTTGGGTGGCATGAAAATAAAACAACTCTCTGAGTGTTTCCTGTTTGTGACCACCTGCTCACAGGTCCAGAGCTGATCAAGACTCCAGGTGATTTCTTAGTGCATCTCTACTTCTGGCTGCCAGATCTGCTTGGTTTTAACTGCAGTTAAAACCAAGCATTCTGGTGGCGTGTTTGTAACTCGCCACCAGAATGAGGGAAATTATGATTGTTTTTTTTTTTTTGTTCTCTCTGAAAAAGTGGAAAGTTGCATTCTGATTAGCTTTATGCCAGATGTAATAAATGTTCACTCTTCCTCCTTCTTGCAAACTAATCTCTCTTCTTATCATCCCGTGTAACATGACACAGTGAAACACTAGCACTTCTGCTTTTCATTACAATAGGCACTTGCAATTACACAGGTGGAATGACTCACTCGCCAGACAGTTGCACTGGCCTCTGTCAATTTTATTAGTTTTTATGTGCAGTCTCTCCTCCCCTGTGTCCATGTGCGTAAGCATGCTGTCCTCTCCAAGAAGGTGGATGTCCTCTGATCACTCTGTGACTCACTCTGCAGAGCCACCTGGCTAAAATGAATAATGTGACCTTTGTGACGCTCTGCTGTGAAAAGCACAATACGAAAATTGAACCATTTGTCTCTTTTGATGCTTCCTCTCTGCAAGAAAACTCTAGCAAACACTCTGATGTTTGGTGTAGCTTAAACTTGTTTATAGACCAGATGTTTTTTTGTTTTTTTTTTGCTATAAAACCAACAGCTGAACTCTTGACTGTGAAGTCACGTGATCTAAACTAGTTTGACTGTAGCCTTTTTGGCTCTGCGATTCTCTTTCCCGGCACAGTCACAGCAAGTTGACGAGAAAACCACACCCAGATCTCATACTTCGGGAGCAGGCCAGCAAGCACTGACAGCTGCAGTGCTACAGATAACATCGGGCTCAGCTCCCAATGAGCACGCTCTCTTCAGTTTGCAACAGTGCTGCTACACTGCCGCGTACTTTCAACAGGTTAAAGTTGAACTAAAATCAAGCAATAATTAAATTCTGGACGGTGCAAATAGGTTGAATAACTTTTGAAATCTAGATGGCCGCTTTTTCGGCGCCGTGGCTGCACTTTTTTTTGTTTCTTTTTTTTTTTTTTACCACTGGAATCACTGTTTGAATTGCACATGTCTGTCATCTAATCTCCCTGGATGTTTACC